GTGTATAATACCACTCATTATCTGCTTTGTCATAACCATCTTTCTCATTATTATCATCATCTGAATTGGGAGATGAATATTAGGGCTGTATGGATTGAAGTTGGAGATAATAATGCTTCGTAAAATTGGATTTAGCTACAGGATTTAACTTGGGACAACTATTTTTCTTATGCCCTTCTTGTCTACAATTACTGCAATAAAAAGGCTTTCGAAATTGATCATTAAGTGTTATTCTACCAAACTTAGATGTCATCTGACCAATTTCATCTATATTTGATTCTAATCTATCGATTCTAGATAATTGCAACTTTTCTGGCTTTTGCAATTTAGGAGGTGACCCATAAGCTTTTGCGACCACTCTCATTATTTCTTCCCTAGTAAGTGTATTAGGGAAAGGATTAGCGCTTTCATATGTATCAAGAATCTGTTCCATATTTTTAGGTGGAATTTGTGAAGGAGTTTTCTTACTTTGTTGGACTATCTGTACTTGGAATTCATTTTTCTGCTTTTCTAATAAAGATTGGTATTCAGTTTTTTGTTGTGCTAATGCAGTTTAAATTGCTTTTTACATATCTTCTAAAGATATTTCTTGCTGTTGTGAGGCTGAAATAGATGAAGGTTCATATATTTGCCAAGATGCACGATGAGATACTAGTGAGTCTGATATATCACTATCTCTTTTATGTCTTGCTATTTGGCGTAACTCTATCTCATAAAACTTTTTAGCTAATTCATCCAATGGCAAATGTTCACTAATATCTTCAGCTTTTCAAGCAATATAAAAGGAAGAGCATGTAAAAACTTTCTACGTAATTCTTCAAGCCTATAGTTGGCTCATTTACCTATTCACAATATTTTTTTATATAATTCATCTATAGTCATGTCTCCCTTTCTGATTGTTCTATACATCAAATCCTGAAGCTCCTCTTCTACTGTAGAGAAATGAGTTTTCAACCATCATATGGCTTGATTAAATTGAATACCAGCTATAACTACTGTATTTCTAGCATTAGCATTTGGTGCATTTACAGGATCATTAGTAGGACAGCCATCTGCTATACGCCAGTCTTCATTCCAAGCATCTTCTATAGCTCTTAACTTAACTATTGCATTTTCTGGTTGACCAAGAGCCTCATTTAATGCATTAGCTCCTATCTGTACTGCAGTTCACCCATTTACTGCAACTAAGTTAACCTGTCCTATATTATTGAGTAAGTTAGTTAGCTCCCAATTCTGTTTTATAGTAATCTCATCATCGAACCATTCTAAAGTCTTTCTCTATACAGGCTTTTAAATATCCTATTGCATTATCTCTTCCTGTTGGAGGACCTGTTACATTATCATTTGGATATATTTCCCGATTTTGCAAGTCTAGTCTAAGTTATGCAAGAAAGTCTGGGATACTATCATCCCAGCCAAAATATGGATGAGGTATTCCTGCTATGTTTACTTGATTAGATGGATTATTCTGTAACACTAAAATTTATCCCTGTAAATTTAAATATTCTGACGAGAATTTTTCTTTAGCCTTCTATTTCTCATATCACTCATAGAGTCTGTCTCGATTATATTCTAACAGATCTATATCTCCTCTACTTCACTATAGATGGTAAGCATTTTGCTGATACAATAATTATAAGGCAAATTTTTCTTGTACCAGTTCACCTATACGGGTTTGATTTTTTGTCACCCTATCTAACACTCTATTAACCTGATTTCGGCCATTAGTTCGCAACTGATGAAGATTACCAATAGCCCTTTATTCTATCCCTTCAGCAAGTTGCTTTCGTATAATTTCATTATCACGCTCAGCTTCAGCGTCATAATGCCTTCTCTGTTTCCGAATTATATCTTGACACAAATTATTTTCTTTTTGACGAATCTGCCTTGTTATCCCTTTTATTTGATTTACAAGAATATCTATATATGTTGCTCTATTATCAACAAAACCATCTATAGCATTCGCTAGCTCTATGATTGTAGCCATATTATCATCAGAATTATATTGATCAGAAGAATTCCCCTGTACTGATGAATTTTTTCTTGATGAGATGACCTTGATCTGACATTGCAATTTTTCTACCTGCTCTTCAGATTCTTTCAAGTGTTTTTCCAAATCAGAGATATAGTTTTTCTTATCTCGTGTATCCTTCTTAGCTTGATATAGCCGATTTTTTGAATTGGAGATTTCAGACTTCAACTCTACTATCTCTTCTTCTCAAGACGTTCTATCTTCCCATTAAGGGTCTGGATTTCTTGCTTATATTAGGAATAATCTCGCTCCAGCTGATTAATTCATCTTTCATTCTGATGATTACTATCAACTTCTGTTTGCAATTCACTACGAAGATGGTAGTTCTTCTCCTTCTGCTCAGCTTTATATTTTTTACATGTTCTTTTTTGCTTTGAATAGGGCCTTCAAAATAACTTTTTTTTTCGTGATTATAAAAGAGAATAGGAAAAGCCTTTGGATTAATTTATATAGATCCTTAAAAGCGCGTAATCTTGACCAGAATTTTACTTTGCAGAAGTATAAGGAAAAAAGTACCCCCAGCTAATGAGAAGAATCTGACTTCATAGATGCCAGCTCTTTTTCTGCCTCCTGTACTTGCATCTTCAGATCTTTGATCTCATAGCGCATTTTCTTATTTGCAGTAACCTGCTCTCTATATTCCTTCTCTATGTTATGCATAAATTTCCTAAAAGTTTATCTATTATAATCGAGCAGGTGCTAGAATAGTACTTTAAGCTCATTCATAACTCAGCAGTTATTTTCTTCTTCATGATCATAGGCGCTATTATCAGTTTAGACTCCACTATCTATAACATGTATAGTCAGTAATGCTGGGGATACGTTATATTTTGGCTAGCTTCAAGGGCATAATAATTTTTCCTGAGCCATAAATTTGTGTTTCCTATTTAACGAATTCTCATATACTTTTAATTTATGCTTTAGATATGACTCAATTTGACCAGACTTCCCAGAAATCATTTCTAATGGAACAGGATTTTTAGAGTGATTTAAAAGACTTTGATATGCTCTTTTGACTAGGCTTTCTAGAAGTCTATCAGTAATATGTTTATAGTCGGAATAGAATATTTTATAGATATAATTTTGCACAAAAAAAAAGTTTGCACGCAAAATTTTACCTATAGCGATATTATTATCATAAAAAATCAAGAGATGCGAATAAAGATGTTTATGTTAATAATTTTATTAATCAGATTCTAGCAATATAAAATACTTTTACATTATCAAATTTACAGATGGTAAATTACTAATCATCTAACAATAATATTCAGCTATAATACTTGGCTATAATTACAATTGCGGTTGTGAAGTAGAACCATTACTTTCTTTATACGGTGGTGGTGGGGATTGGTTTCTTCTTATAATATTTTGTTCGTGAAGCTGATGGTATTCCAATACTAGAGAAAAGTAGAAATCTTTAATTAGTTACCTATGGTTTATATATATATTTCTGAACATGAAAAAATGATGAGAGAGTTAAATCATATTTACCAGGCTTTTCCAAAACTCTAATTTAAATTCCTCATAATACTTTAGACCATTCTTGGTCTTCTTTCCCTTATTTTTACTATCAATATAATCTTTCATACGCTAATCCCCATAAAGATGAATTAGTTCATAATTTTGGATTATATATGAGAATATTTTCTAAAAAAAGGTACTAGATAAAAACTTACTTTACAATCACGTTTAAGGCTCTCAAACTTTTCCCTACAATGTACACTAGTATAAGACGTTCCAAACTGAAGGTTGATCTTTGTGAAGACTTTCTTTCAGAAAATTCTCTTCCCATTACAAACTAATTCATGAAATAATTCATTATTTTCTTTACAGTCATCGATCAAGACTCGAAGTTGCTCGTCAGTTCACATTGTAAAAAGCTTTTTATTTTTTTTTGGTATTTGGGTCTCTACTGTTAAGACGTTTTGCAGAGAATATAATATTATATACCTTTATTAACTACATTATTGTAGGTACGTGGAGAGGGTAGTGATATAAACGCAAAAGACAAGTTATTATATATCGAATGACTATATATAATAGATATAGCTTAATTTTTAACCAAAGTCACATGGAATCGGTTGTTAAGATAGTCTAAAATTATATTATTACTATTTCTAAGAAATACCATGCTAATAGCGCGTTGAATAATATATCTTACTATTAGATCTGAAAAAAATACCATGTCAATACCATGCCATTACTGTGAAATTGCGTAATACTATTTCCACATGAAAAAATATGGATGAATATATAAATAATAATAATGGACCACCAGGGTCACTTTATTGATATAAAAAATATAATATAAATTACAAAAGAAACTCTAATCATCTTGTATTAGAGTAGAAACTATAGTACTATCTTCTTTTTATCTTTCTGATATGGAAATGGAGGCGTGATATAGAAGGGACAAATTTGTAATTAATATATTTTGTAAAAGTAGAAGGATTTCTACAAATTTAGTTACAACACCTACATCTGACAATTGTACAGGAATTTCAGCTGATTGTAAATGAAAATATCTATGAACGTTTGCTTTATCTCTAATAAGAACATTCAGATGCAACATATTCCCAGCTAACTGCACTCCAACTATTCCAAATTGATCTTTTTCTGGTTTAAGGATTTTGCGAACCCAGAACATGCCATCATTACTTTCTCTCTATAGCTTTATCTTATCATCTATTTTTTTCTGTTGACTATAGTATAATCATGAACATTCAACATACATAAGCTCGAAGAAAACATCTAAATATTTTACCACATACATAATATCTGGTCGTCTTCCCATCTGCCCTTTACCTTTCCTATCTGCACTAGCAATACTCTGCCGTTTTGAAGTACTGATAAATGAGGATAAGCTAAAGGTAGGTTTTTTAATATTGTTCGAATAGATAATAGAATAATCATTGATTGATAGGTTCCTTCATTTAGTGATTTTGCAAGTTCAGAATTAAAAGTTGGGTTAATCCAAATATCTTCCAGAAGAATTAAAACTTCTTTTATAACATTCGCGATTTTCTTCTGATTCTTTCCAGAATCCATCATGAATTAATTTATCTGGTATCGTATTCTGAATATTACAATCGATAAAACTTGTTACAAAATTTTTACATATCTCTCTAACTATCATCATAGGAGCAGGCATCATTTGCCAAGCAGGTTTCTAATATAAAATATATGTTATATTTATTCTCAAAGAACCTTCAACGAATTTATGGTTACCTACCTTAAATGCTTTTTTTAGATTTGATGACAACTGCTTAACAACTTCTGATTGATCGTTAATAACTCGGCTGGCCAAAGGATTCTTTCAGATTAAGCTTTGAATAGATATAGCATTTACTTTGGAATATAATTGTTGATAGAGAGACGAAGTGTCTTTTCTAAACTTTTTCTTTAGATCATTTATATTATCTTCAATCTGATCTGAGCCAAAAGGAATTTCCTTATCTGTTTTAATTGCTTCCATATTGTATAAGGTACAAACACCTTCAAAGGCAATGTCAAACTAAAAAATATAATGTGTTAGATTTCAGAAATAAAAAAGAAGTTCTCATCATAAAAATAACACAATTATCAGTGCATATACAAAGTTATCATCTTTGTGTGGCCATTATGCAGATGAAACTTCGTGTAATACTAATAAAGCAACATAATAACTCATATCTTAACACATCCCTCGACATAGCAATAACCTTTTCACATAATAGGTTGGTAGGGTGAACTACAAAACTGCATAACAGATTATAGCATATACACCC